AATAGAGATATCTCTATTCTGTGAATACATGTAAATGTTAACTTGGCACATCTAGGAATAGAGATATCTCTATTCCGTGAATACATGTAAATGTTAGCTTGACACATCCAGAAATAGAGATATCTCTATTCCGTGAATACATGTTAATGTTAGCTTGACACATCCAGAGAAAGAGATATCTCTATTCCGTGAATACATGTTAATGTTAACTTGGTACATCTAAGAATAGAGATATCTCTATTCCGGGATTAAATGTTAACTTTGCACGCCATAAAAATGCATGTAAACAGGACTTCTCAAACATGATTCTGAAGGGCATTGTTACTGTACATGTACATGCACCAGTAGGTGACGGTGAGGCTTTTGCACGTACAAACAACAATGAACCTTTCTACCTGTTTTTTATTTGGTTACGTGATGCCTAGAAAAAAATAGCTCTTTGCGTGTGAAAAAAACAGCAATTCTTGTCACTTAGTCTTGCATGTGTGGTGCTGTTACACTTGGCTGAAGTTGAACAGGTTGTAGAGCAGTCAGGCATTTGAAGAATGGAAAATGTGAAGCAGATGGGATAGGCTGTGGAGTAGGATAAATCTGCATATAATGCAATGGCTATATTGGTGCAATATATGAAAATGGCTTTGAACCATTGGATGTACATGTACGGTACTTGTACCTTTAGTGTACATCTTGGTCCCTTGATCATGTACATACATGTACATGTATTTTACTCGGAGAACTACGCATGTACATGTATATGTAGGTCTGATGGATGGAGGCTTTAATTCACAACATATCAAAACATTAGGATATATGGTAGTACATCTGTATACTGCTCATTAATTACCAATATAGATGTGCTGTACATCATGTACATGTACGTGGTGGTTGGGTGAATACTTGTACTGGGGGTACATTTTCTTCAGAAAAGTTATTAGAATACAATGTGTATATTACTCTAGTGTTCTTTTCTGTCAGTCTAAAGGCCATTTCATACTACAGGCAAAGATGAAGATGAAGCAGATTAGATGTTACAAAAGATTTGCAGCAAATTTTGCCAGAGTTGAAATGTGTTCAATGTGCCAATATTTGACCTGACATCACAAATTCTCATTTGTGTTCGCTTTTGCGTGAGGAACATGTATGAACCAGCCTTAATATGTCTTTTCAGCCATAAGAAGTTGTCAAGCACCATTTGAAAGATTTTAAATATTTGCAGACTTGGTTGACAGCCCTTAAGCAGTCGGTCGGTCAGAAAAACACATAGTATTATTTAAACTCTGGTTCATATTAGTCTCTAGTGATGGTTGGCAATCAATTTTTCTGTCTGCCATTTTTATAGAGGTCATCCATTTTTGACAATAGCACCTCATGAACAATAAGTGGATAATATTGCGTCCAGTTTGTCCGTATCTCAGCAAACTGTGCGTACACTTTGATCCCTGGCCTAGTCTGGCCCTGTTTTCACCATACTTACACATGTCTTGCCACTGATCTCACTCATTCTGCTCCCAGGGACCGCTGCTGAGGGTTGGTGTAGTCACGGACGCCAAGGGCTCCAGGCACTTCTTAATGCCCGATGAGTCCAGGCCTCTACACAATACGGTCATCACTAGGTAAATGTGTAGCACCCCTACACTCAACCCTCCATACCGGCAATACATATCTGGAGAGCTTTATCAACAAGGCTTTGATCTAGTCTTATTGTTGTGGCTTTGCGGAAAGTCATTACAGTGGGTCAGTGGCGTGTCAGTGCCCAAATGATATTCGCACACGTGAGATACAGATACAGTTGTAAGGGCTTGCCTGTTTTCTAGCCGAATTTGGAAGAGTTCAGTGACATTCATTTTGTTGGTTTGCCATTTAAAAAACTGATTTTCTATTGAAATAGTCTTACGTTCTGAGGAAAAATTCTTATCAAAGTGATGCACCCTCAGGAAATGTCAGATGTAATGCTGAATATTGTGGGAATAAATTTTGTGCTTAAAAAATCACTAAACCATTTCAAAATACATGTATGCTAGGAAATGACATGCTGTAATCAAGAAAGACTATGTGTGATTTTTTTCCAGCATTTATACATGCACTACAAACATTGTAATCTGTAGCCATTCTTGTTCTAGCATGGGTCTCTGCAGTTACATCAGCTGCATTAAGAAGGTCTCTGTTGGAAACTGATTACTCATTTAGAAGGGTTGTTGGTTGTTGAATCCATATTTGGCAGTATTTATGCATTTTCCGTTTTTGCTGTCATCTGATAATAAGTCACTACAATACCACAAAATACTACAAAATGGTCTGTGTACATGTGCATGTGCAGACATTCAAACTGATTGTAGTGGGCATAACTGGCCAACTTTGGAAAGCCAATTCCGATGGCTTCTGTCACATGTAGTCATATGTTTTGTGTAATTTCTGAGAAATTCTCACATTTTTGTGGTTGATCCCAGGTTATTACAAGCCACAGCTGAGGAGGGAGGACCAGCCCACATCAAGGCGGTGGTGGAATGGGAACACGACATCCGATTCACGTAAGTTATTCGGCAATGAGACAAGTCTATAGATTGGACGGAGCATATGGGTGTACACAACGGATACAAATTTGTAGAAGATAAGTGAATAGGTGCACAAACACTGCATGCATGTAGCTGTAAGGTCATACTCTGTACAGCATGTTAACATTCTAGTTAAACAAACTCTGTAGAAGTGCTGTCTAGTTACCCTTGAATGACCCAGAAATATGCGACTTGCCATAAGGATATTGGTGAAGCACATTGAATGTGGCTTTGTGTTGCAGCTGAATTTTAGTAGAAATGTATAGAACATGTAGTTGTCTCAAATGATCCTTTTTTGTTTTGATGACACTCTGTAAGCACGTTGCCCACAGTTACTGAGAATGCTAAAAATGTATTGAAACTCATTTGAGTTTGAGTGCAGGTTGACAACTAGTCAAATAAAGGTCACTTTGCACTTTGTAACCAGATTGTCATTTTTTTGCCAATGACAGATGGCTGTCACCTTCAGAGCATGTGGTATTGTGGTGACCTGATGCTGCAAGGCCATAAAGTCTCACTGAACCAGAGCTTGTCTGTCTGTGTTAATTGCCCACTTTGCCCACTTTGACCTCAAAGTAAACACAATGGTGAATGGGGATGGTAGGGCTTTATCTTGAGGAGCTCAAATACTTGGCAGTGTCCTAGATAGTGAAATAGTAAACAAGGTCTAACTGATAGCAACCCTGACAGCCAGTATACCAGAGTGTGCCAAATCTGCTTGACTTGTATCATATGTTGCCTTGTTTCAAATTGTTGTGAAGTTGTGTTTGTATGTTTGGATTTTGGTGAGCACAAGAAGAATAAGCAGCGTATGATGTATGCTGAGGGGTATCGGTGTGCATGTACAAGAGTTATACCAGGAACACCTTTTGTTTAATAATACATATACATGTAGATGCATTCCACCAGAACTGTATTATCTTTTGAACTAAACCTGAAGTAAAGCATTTGAAACGATTCATGCAATGCAAATATTTTACTGAAGCAGTTAAATATGCGACTTTGTGTTTCAGTTAACCTAATTTTAACAGGTATTTTGGAGCCTTTTGTTTGGTTTTTCTGCTGTAAGCAAGTTGCAAAGCTCTGTATTCATGAGCAAAACTATGTTGTCATCCCAGACACTGAGCCCCAGTTTTACTTTGGTTTGTGCACAAAATCTGCTGGAACTTTTAATATTTTGCTATCATAAATTTCTGTTTCTTTGGTGGTTTATTGTTGTGCAAATGCATGACAATAAATCAACAATGTTTTTTTTGGAAAATGTTTCAAAGAGAAACTTTCACAATATGTACATAAAACATGGACTCTGAACAATAATTTCCCTGTTGTCATCACAGCAACAGCACCCTCATGTCAGTTATCCAGAAAAGCTCAGGCAACAGCATTTCAAACAGTTGTCATACATTGAAGAAGAATTTTAGTCATGTGTCTGGGAAAAATCAGTTGCATTGACCCAAAACCACAAACTTCTCAGCAAATTTCTCTGCCCCATTTCACCATATGAAAATAATGTCAAGTGAAATCTGAACTCAAAGCAAACTCCAATGGGTTAAAAACTCTTTCTTTCCACATCTGTGCCCTTGAGTGATTGTGAGTTGCTATAAGAATGTCCGTCTCAGTCACTCAGTGGCCTGGGTGTGCACCTATGAGTAATAATAACAATATTTGTTTGATAAGTTCCTGGCTGTTCCTTTGTATTTTCATCGGTTCAAATCTGGTTTGGCATTGTCATCAGCTTTGTTTCATATTGTGTGTTTGTCCTAAATGTCTTTGTATTGTCTTATACTTCTTTTCAAATATGAAAACCCTACCTCCATCCTACAAAGCCATTTCCAACCATTTTCACCAGGCACATGTACTGAATGGAATACATTAGAATCCATAAATATTACCTTTGCCTGTCCTTGTGCATCATTGAATCGCAGCTTCTCCCAGAAGGTTCTGAGCATCTTCATTGAGGAAGATGAGAGTGTACAGAAGCAGAGACTGGCCCACCAACAACCAGTCAAGGCATCCCTGGCAGACTGCATGGACCTGTACACACAGGAAGAAAAGGTAGGTTACTAGACATCCAGCAGTGGCTTAGTCTACCTGGAATGGCTGACATGTTTCAAAAGGACGTTGGATTATATTTTGGATATTTCGTCGCCCGTCCTTCTCAGACACTAACCTTAGGCAGCTAAGACAATTCAGATGTTGAGTTCGCTCATCAGAATGGTAGTCAAGTCCTTTTTAAAATTATATACCAAATAAAAGACGGATAGTCGGAATTAAGCCTGAATTCTCCTGTAGGATCAGAGTATTGTGTACTTTTTTAATGGATTGGAATCTGAGTATTTAGAGAAAAACTAGGCTTGTTTGCATCACATATATCTCAAAACAAGTAATAGTTTTTTGGAAAGAGAAAATGATTGGCTCAAGCAGTCATTTCTTTACTGACTTGATTTTGTTTGCTTTTTGGTTGACAGCTTGGACCAGACAATGCCTGGAGTTGTCCCTTCTGCAAGAAACTCCAGCAGGGTTCAAAGCGACTCAGCTTGTGGTCGTTACCTGACATCCTTGTCATACATCTAAAGCGATTCAAGCAGGTTAGAATTTCCAGCAACCCAGACTAGCAAAACTTTTCTGCCTCGGTATAATGCCAGCAGAGTAAACCCCAACTAACCAACTATTTTTTGTACCAGGAACCTTCCTGAATCCTCCCAAACTCTCTCTTTAGGAAACCACTGGTAAATGTTTCTACAAGAATTCTCAAAGAGTATCATTCCCCACGTATTGGTATCATACAGGTGTTAGGGCTGTCCTTTTTTGCTAAATCTCCTGGTGGAATTTTAGGAAAGGATTTGGGTCGGCATTTCAGTCGAGTCCCTTATGAGTCCATTACAAGTCTTCGTATCTCAAGCAAAGTTACAAGCAATTCAAATGAACTACGGGAAAAGCATTTCTTTGTTGTTGTTCACCCCTTTTTTTTATGACTTGTCTCATGAAAGGGCTTTTGACTGGACTTTCAAAAGGACTAGCGGTGAACTTGACTACAACACAGATCAGGCTTGATAAATTCAGCACAGATTGCCTTGTCCTTGTCACACAGTGCAAAGCAAATACCTTTTGGCAGTATCCATGGAATGTGTGTCAACTGTTTCACATTTTTTACTGCACCAACCATCTGAGGCAACCTGTTTGTATCGTTACTTGTGTTAGTTATCTGCTATTTTCAGTGGCATGCCTGATACAAGGCATGTGTTCAAGGCACTGTGACGTCTGCTGAATAGTTTTGCATCTCTCGTTGTGTTTTCAAAGAACATTACTTGCTCTGAAGAGCAAATGACCGAAAAATTCAGTTCAGTTTAAATACCGTGACTGATCTACAAATCAGAGCGGAAAGTGTATTTCAGCAAACACATGACACTTCCTGGTAAGGATGGTAGATGGTCATCAATTGTGACCCCATTCCAAAACCAGGCTAAAATAAGCTAATATATGAAATTGATACCCATATTTACATGAACAATGCAAATTCCATAAATTTTATTGCCTGTAACTACCAAAGCTTCCCGCTGACTTCCTCCAGGCCTTAGAATCATTTGAAGGATGAAAATTAACAGTAGGGGAAGGAATTGTCAAAACTTAAATTTTAGGGTATTGGTCACAAATAGAACCTGAATCCTGTCCTCTGCCTGAACACTGAAAATCCTGTTTCTTTTGTTGGTGAGAACTTTTTTAACTCATTGCAGCTGAGCACAAGCCGCACCAAGTTGAACACTCTGGTGGAATTCCCCATCCACGGTCTCAACATGGCCCAGTACATTGCCCGCAGGCAGCAGAATGCCCACGCTGCCTCCCTCAACGCGCTGACTGGCTGGTCACCCTGGCGACACATCCACAGACGACGGACGCATCACGTGACGGAGCATGTCTACGATCTGTACGCAGTGTGCAACCACATAGGTAGCATGCAAGGCGGGCATTATACAGGTTTGTTGCAGACAGTTTACTGTAGTCAGTACAACCATTGGGGACCTCCATGGCCATGTCTTCCCTAATTTTTTTTTCAGAAGCCTTAGCCCTAAGCATCCAAGATCCACCAGAAGGGGGGAGAGGGTTTCACTGGATAATTGAAAGTACTCAGCAGCTCTAATCCAATTTCTGTGCTCAGAGCTTAAAGATATTAAACCTTGGACCCAATTTCAAAGAGCTTAACACGAAATACTGCTTGGCAAAGGTAGGCCATGTTCAAATCTCCTGGTTGTGGCTGAAAATTACACGACTTAATGGGAAATGGCTGCAGGTAATACCACAGACTTGTGTGTGATTTCAAGCCACAACCAAGCAATTGGCACATGGCCAGTTACTAGGAAATGGGAACCAGCCACTGGTGAATAATATCATGCAGGGAGTTGTGGGCTGGTAACCTGCATTTATCAAGTGGATGTTTTCTTTCCGTAGCAAAATGTTGTGTTTACTAGCTCTATGAATTGGCCCCCGATCTTATCTTCTTGAGATGCTTTGAAAGGAGTGAGGTCTCATTCCATTCCTGCACTTAATGCAAAACACTGATTTCACTTTGGGTTGGGGTTATCCCTGACTTGTCTACTTCCAGCAAAATGAGTCCACTTGGGGAGCGTCTCAAGAATGGGAACACCAAATAGCATTCCCAGAGGGCATTGCTTGTTATGACTGACAACACACGCTGTTCCTTCATAAAACAGCACTTGTTCCTGAATGGGACTAGTGGTATATGTTTGTGCATACATGTTGACTTGGGAACGGTGTACTGAAGGGTAAAGTCAGAACCATTTCTTTTTGGGAGGGGGGCAAAAAAATTGATAATTTTTTGTTGTTACCTGGGACTCCTTTCTGAGAGGTGAGGCTACATTTGGGGGCTTTTACATGCTTTTGAAAGGACCTGAAGTTAAATAGACTGGAGATTTGTTTTTTTTCTTTAAAAGAAATTATTTTTTTTCTTTTTTTTGGAAGGGGGATGGCCTCTGAATGATTTCCCTGGGTCTACCCTTAGGTAGATGTTCTGTGAAAAAAGCGTTGCTGTGAGAACAGAAATTCTCTGACTTTTCTTTGGCCAAAATTTGCTGAGAAGACGACCAATAACAAACCTCAAAGCTAAGATGGAGTTTGTTATTTGAACTGAGCCTTCACTAATTGATCGTTGCAATTTCCGCTCCCAGCATACTGTCGCAATCCCGCCGACAACCAGTGGTACAACTTCGACGACTCCAAGGTGGTTACTCTGCCTGAGGACACCCTGTTGACCCGCAATGCCTACATCCTCTTCTACCACCGCCGCAGCCTGTCTAGCACCAGCACCAGCAGCAGCAGCTCAAGCAGTTCCACCTGTTCCTCGGGCTCAGACCACTGGATCCACCGCTTGCCGGCCTTCAAGCAGCAGCAGAAACAACAGCTGCAGCAGCAACAGCAGCTGGGCTCCAGCCAGGAGGACGTGCTGTCGGATGAGGCCTCCAATGACAACAGCCTGTCCTCGTTGGGTGCGCTGCGAGGTGAGAGGTCACTGAGCCTGGGCCGGCGCACCGACCTGCAGGATGACCTCAGCGATGGTGGGTTGTTTGGTGTTTAACCCATTTATGACAGGATGAGTGTGACTTGTTTCAGTATTACAGCAAAGCTGGATGTCCGTTGACCTTACATGCAGGTTAACTCAGTGGCCCATGCTCACTTTTTGATATGTGTACTTGCTTATAGACACCTTTTGTTTTGCCATGGCTAATGTCAGATTTTAACTCAAGATGCACATTTTCCCAAATGCTGTCAGAGAGGATTGTACTTTCATTTAGTATTTATAAGAATTGTTCATTATTTCGTAGCTTCCTGACATTAAAACAGTTGATGAATTATTCTTTTGCTTATGTACTAAAGATTGTTCACGAGGGCAGGGGTGAGAATAAGTTTATGAGGTGAAAGATAAAATATTCAATCCTACGAGGCAAAGCTGAGTGGAAGTTAATATTCATCTGTCACCAAATGAAACATTCATTATTTGTTTTTACAGTACCCGCATAAATCCTCCCTTGTATAGAAGAACAAAATAGGTCCCTCTCACATATTAACATCCGTCATGTTGTGAAACAGAGTCAGTGGATACTGTTGAAAGGAACAAATATTTCACTGACATGATCAACGATCCACCATTCATATGATGGGAATTTTTGCAGGTGTTGTATAATCAGCAATAATTTTACCTGTCACTGGTAGGCAAAATTCTGATTCCAATGTGACGTAGAAAAGAGCAGACCTTATTGGACAACAAGCAGTAGAGAGCACAAGAATGTGATAAGTATATGGTCAAAGTAAATTTAATTTTCCATGCATTTTCAGTGTGCATCGTCAAATCATTTATTGTGGAAATCCACAAGCTTGCACCAATGGAGACAGTGTTTTGCTGTGGAAATGCCCAGTGTTTGTCATTGCTTATACATATGTACACGCTTTTTAGTCATGCATCATTGCTTAATGTCAATTTCTCGATGCACAGAGGACTGTGGTGGCTTTGCCAGTCAGCAGCGGCCATTTGTCCGCGGTGTCTTTGCCAGCGCTACCTTGCCACGATCTCTCCATCAAGGCATCCGGTACATTGACAGCGATGCAGAGAGCGTCATGACGGAGTCTTGCGTCTGAGTCCAACATATGATGGTCTTGTCAAAGCCGAGTATCAAGCAGGGAGGTATTGTACTGAGTTTGGAGTGTGCACACCAACTAGATTTTTTTGGATGAATTTTTGGATACAGAAGAGGATTTCATCAAACATTGCCACACTCTTTAAACTTTTTATGAATACTTGGTTCCTTTGTTCATGGTTTTGGAAACAATCCATTGTTTTGGGAAAAAAATTCAGGAAACTGGTAGATTCATGCATGTTTAAAATTTCAAATGCCCATGGTACAGTAGTTGAGTTTGAACAATCCTTCCTGTTGTGATATGGTGAAATTTTTCAGTGTTGTGAAAAAGATACAGTCTGTGCAATTTTTGGTGGTGTGAGAGAAGCAGCTGGGTCACAGAATCTGGCAAATTGATATGTGGTAGGCAGTGGTCCAGAATTGCTAATTCATACTGATATGCGTAGGTGAGACAGTGGTGGACAGGTGTTTGTACATTCACAGGTTCTCTGCCCAACCATTACCTGAGTTGTAAAATGTGAAGTATTGCTGTCAGCAAAAGACAATTTAGCACCATTTCCATTTGCACCTACACACTGATGTATTTGTGTTGTGAGGTCATATATAAAAGTTACAGCTGCGGCTGAAAATAACACATTTGCCTGTGGGAACTATTGGCTAGCCACAACCACTTCCCATAGACATGTGTCACTCCTGACAGCAGCCATTTGAATTAGACACAGCCTGGCAGAAATACCACAGTTGTGCACATTCAGTTGAAAATTGGCCATGCATACATCACATCCTTTGCATGCACATATTTGTCTGAGTACACTGGCTTCCTTGTCTCTTGTGCATAGGTTGCACAAGCCTCACCGACAGTTCCTGTACAGGGTACATTACTAGTCACTAGAAATGTTGCAGTAGTCCGCAACTAGTACAGTGAAAGGACATGGAGACTAGAACGAGTAAATGGCTTTTGCCTCTAAGTGTAGGTAAGGGTAGAGATTGAGTCTTTTTATTCCTTTAAGTACTTTTTGTTCAAGTTTAAGGTCTAATATTTTTTAATTCCATTTCTTTTTTACATTGCCTCATCAATTGACAATGGTATGTTTTTCACGACTAAAGTTGTGTTGCCAATTTTCCTTACATGTGGGAGTTTTTGTTGAAGTCATATTCATTTTTCAGAACTTAAATTTGTTTGTTCTGTAAATAAGATATTTCAACTTTACTTTCAACATTGACATTTGATTTTTATTTCAAAACCAAAGAAATAGGAATATTTTGTTTGTCGTTTTCTGTGTTGGTTCAATGCACATTTCTTTCATTTGTTCATGAAACTGTTGGTACATGTACATGTAGATTCTCATTTCTTTCAATATGGCCGTTTCACAATAGTGCGCCACCAAGAGTTTGTAACACGCTGGCCAATCATAATACACAAAATTTGTCGACCATCTCCAAATGTGCATTGGGTCAACAAAGTTCGCGCATTGTGATTGGCCAATGCGTTGCAAACTCTTGGTGGCGCACTTTTGTGAAACGGCTGTATTGATTTTCGAAATGAACAGTTCAAGGTCACAGTTTAACATTTTGTTTTGAAATCTGAAATGTAACATACTCGTAATTGCAAATGTTCTCATGAATATTTTAAAATCTTCTTAAACCTTTCCTTTGTAATCTTCAGTTTTTAAAAAACAAGTCTTTCCATGGTTTTTAGCCATCAGTCTCCATCATGGTTAGGGCTGAGTCAGTTTGAATCACTGAATATCCGAATATTCAACTTTTCATTTGATAGAATGATTTGGATATTTGGTACAGTTCTGATTGTGGTTAAAAGTGCTTCTTTTTAAATGTTTGTTTGAATCACTGAATATCCGAATATTCAACTTTTCATTTGATAGAATGATTTGGATATTCGGTACTGTCCTGATTGTGGTTAAAAGTGCTTCTCTTTAATTTGATGGACTTTTTATTCAGAAAATGCATGCACATCTGTTCATGAAAAGAGTATAAATGCCATTGTTCAGCATGTTCGGGATTGTTGCTAAATTTATGAATACCTGCAGAATACTTGCAGTGTTAGGAAGATATTTGGAAAGCAAATTATTTCCATCTTTGAGTTTTCTCAGACTCAAAAGATTTTTGTCCATTTTGTGTGGTTTTGTAATTGTTGGCCGTACACTAATGACTTAGAATGTAAATTGGCTGTTTTTAGTATACAAAAGCAATCATGAATGATTCTCACACAACCTCATTTTGAAAAATGTGTCAAATATAATTAATTGTACAGAGAGGTTTTTATCTTTGAAAAACAATTTTTCCTGAAATCTATCGTGGTTTGTAAATTCATCAAAATTTCATCAAATTTTGTGGCCATTAGATGTTCACAAGATTTATCTTTGTTACCACTGTTCATATCTTGGGTTTAATCAAGGGCTTTCAATCTTCCAAACGGTATGAGATTATAAACGGATAAAGAAGGCGTGTTTATCTTCAACTGTAAATGATAACAATTGTTTTGTCCTGTCAGTTCATATAGCCTTGTTTAGAGATTTGGAGCATGGTGATTTCCCAGGTAAGACTACTGTAGGAGACACAGAGTGAAAAGTTCTTTAAGAACAGAATCATGAAATTTCTGATTATAGACAAAAAAACGTTTTCTGCTGTCCACATCTAGACAGTAGAAAGTAAAATGTTCCAAGCCAGCTTAATTATCATTTAAATGCATATTGCTTGCAATCTAGAACCAATTCAGTTGTTTAAGTGAAATTTGAGCAGAAGGTGTCATAGCTGAGCGTCCCATTTCTGTAGTGATTTATTGACCCCAAAATGCAGAGGTGATCTGTCTACTCCTGTGCCTTAAATGTTGCTTGCCGTATTAACAGACATATTAAAATTTATCAGCAGCTGTGGATTTCAGCCGTCATAGACTTCACATACTAGAGACTGTGGGAAAATATGAGCACAGAGTTCCTGGGAGAAAAAAAACCCCAAAATAAACGATGGATATGCACAAAAGTGGCATTGTGAACAACTGTTATTGGATAATACTCAATACGTCAGTCAGTGTGCTGTAGCTGACGGTCAAACACAAGGAGCGCAGACTGTCAAGCACTGTAGCTCAGTTCTTGTCTACCCGTGCATTTGAACCCCTTTCATTCATCCTGGGAAATGACAAGAAATAACTGTAGTCATGGGTGCTGTAGTTATGTATGCACACACAAATGGTGCACAGCTTACGTACATGTAAATGCATGTTGCAGTTCGTCACCAGCCCGTAATTTGGTAAAACTTAAAGAAGATGCAGTGGCGCATGTACTCTAATACTAAAATAGAATTCCAGGTCCTGTAAACCCAACTGGTATGCTGCGTGACATTTAGCACCAGGTTTTTGAAGTGCACTGATGCATTCAAGCAACACAGCCCAGCTTCCATCACATGTACTTCATGTAAGGATCGGGGCCAATTTTCATAGCATTTCTTAACCACTTCCTGCCGAGGTGCTCGGTTTTGGACAAAAGAGCTGGTCTGTGTAACAAGACTATACTTGGAACAAAGGACCTGCTGCTGGGAATTGCCATCATTTTTCGACTTCCATTTTTGAAAGTAATCCGGCACTGTTTTGAAACAATACCACTGTTTTGGGCATAGCGTGCCCGCGGATTAGCACCGTGGACAAAAGTGCTCCAGGGCCCCATTGATGAGCGACACAGTGCCGCTGCTTGCTAATCCAGCTGCGTATGAAAAGACGCTACTGGCATTCACCGGAACAAAGGAAATCGTGCAACACCTCACAATTCTGGGCTCTCTTTTGTAGGGCTGCAGGCCTGGGCTGAATACTCGGGCATCAATGAAGGTTGCCTGTCAGATTAGACTAGCCACCAGACAGTCGTTTGTGTGGGTGTAAACGTCAAGTAAATGGACACATGAATTTTTGAAGAATTTTAAAAACAGACAATCTTGAAAAGGTCCCGTCATCTCATCTTGCTCAAGAAAAATCCACCCGGCAGGTAGTGGTTAAAAGTTACGCAGAAATCATGTAGCCCACAAGTTGTGCTTACTATAGCATAAATATAAGCTACTGTCTAACAGTATTTCATTGCCAACATCCATGTGCATTTGGAAATTTGTACTGGTACGTCAATGACTTTTTTCATCTGATGTTGAGCATGCTTTTGGAGTTGATCGATATTTTCTAGCACAAAATTGGTTATGCTATGAAATTTTGCCCGGATGGCACTGGTTTCATGTACATGTACATTAATATACAAATGTATAAAGATGAGTTACACTAAATACAAACCTACCTTTAGTAAGAATAATCAACCACTCAATCATAAAGAGATAGTAAATTTATCCAGATATAGGTAAGTAATGACCATCCTTTCAGGCTATAATTTACACTTTCTCCTCACTTTAAAGTATTTAGTCAAGGGCACAGTAATGCCCATCATGTGGTTCTGTAGCAGTTTGTGCAGTTAATAGTTCTTAATAGCTGTATTTCTGGCCTAGAAAAACAGGCTTACCGTAACTGCATTTACTGATAGTGAATGTTGAATGTGATTTCGAAAAATCGCACAAAATGGCAGTCCCACTAGTTCAGTGACAAAGAAAAACCCCAGATCTGCGCTAGCAGTAAAATCTGTTGCATGTTTTAAAACCTTGCCACACATTTGTAATGTGACTGATCAGTCTGATGTTCAAAGTCCAAAACAAGTGACAATTGGTTTAAAACAATGGTGAAATTGATATATCCAGTACCATTTCATAGAATGTTTGTCATTTAAAGATGCTTTTAAGATTTTGTAGGACAACACTGGATCCTTCATACGGCAGCACAGCTAAACTGCAACCACTGTTTAGACAACTTGGGTGTGTTTTGGCAGTCATAATCAGTAACCACTCTGGTTGTGCATCACTGGTTGAAAATTGTACCAATTTTGTTGTTTCTGTGAGCAGATGTGACTCTTGTTTCTGTTCGCGATTATGATATCAGAAGCAGGTTTGGTTCAGGAATGCCGTAATGCATCGTAGATCACCTGAAATAGCATTTAGATAACAATTTATAATTGCAAGTTTTACGGTGATATTCAGGGAAGGTAACTTATTCTGTAAAATATGAATATGCATCTCATTATACACACATTTATATCCGGTTCGTAAGTGTGACGTCACTTCAGTTTAAGCAACGCCCACTGCACACATGCACTACACATAGGGTTACATGCATTGATTGCCGTTTACATGGAACAGTGAAATCAGATGTTGACGCCCAACTTCAGCGATTGTCCAATAAGAGCCTGCAAATCGTTGTGCGTCCACCATATATATGCAAATAACCAAAAGAATCAAATTGTAAGGTCAGTGGTTCTGAGCCAATGGCATGCTTTCTCATCAAGGTCTTTGAGGGATTGCTTGCCGGGGCACTTGCATGCTGGGCAAGTCTCTAGAATGTGGACTAAGGGTTGTTGATCAGCCCCACAGTCACAGAGAGGTAATGTACACTGGCGCCATCTGTGCATGTCTGCTCTGAAGCAAACATGACCAGATCTAAGGCGTTTCAGTCTTGTCTAGGAGTGTGTATCCAAGTCATTTCCAGGAGGCTGAGTACTGGGATGAGGGATGAACTCGTGTAGTCTGCTACCGTGGTAGGTATTCCAGTCTTTCCATTCTTTCTTATCCCACACTTCAGTGGACTTGCTGCCCTACTCATTCAGCAGATCCTTGAGACAGAGGATGAGTGGTGATCTGGAAGCGAGTCCAAGTTTTCTTGGGTTTGGCCCAGTCTTATGTGCAGTGGGAGTTTGGCATCTTGAGCTCTTCTGGCAGGTGGTGGGATGCCACTCAGTAATGGCAGAAATATAGTTGGCGTTGATCTTCCTTTGATGTGTCTCATCCTGTTGTTGAGGGCGACATCTAAGGGTTTTGTGTACTTACTTCTACACCATACTGAAATGCATTATTCTGCAGTAGAGTAGGCTAGGGCTAGTGTGGATGTTCTGAGGATGGAAAAACTAGCTCCCCAGTTAGTACCAGCTAGGTTTTTGAGCAGGGTGTTTCTGGCTTCGACTTAAGCTGCAATCTTTGTGATGTGGCTTCTGTGTGTGAGGCTCCTGTCCAGGGTTAACCCAAGGTATTTGGGTTTCTTTTCTAAATGTGTGACGGTCTCTCCACATTTCACAGTTAGTTGTTGGTTTGCAAGTCTACTAGTCAGGTGGAAGAGGTTGGTGACTGTTTTTTGTTTTGTTCATTTTCAGCCTCCAATTCACAAAATGGTGATCAAGGTTTGTGAGGTCTTGGCTGAGTATGTTGTTAAGCCCTGAAATAGATGTTCCTGTGACATCTGCATAAACATACCTTTTGCTGCTTGTTGAAGGTAAGT